TCACGGTCTCTGTCACAGTGACGTCCACGCTGACGGATGTGCGGTCTCTTCAGCCTGCGCAACAGGCGCCGCCGTCCAGGCTGACGACGCCGAAGCCTCTCCTTCGCAGTCTCAAAGGCCGACGAGAAAGCCGAAGACACGGGCTCCTCCTTGGCAGGCAGATCTTTCGTTACGGCAGAGCTGACGACATCGGGCTCTGGCTCCGTCTCGGCCGGCGGTGACGACGTATCCGGCGACTTGAACGGGTTGCTGGTCTGGAAGGGGGATACGGCCCATGGGCTCGCGGCCTCGGGGTTTGTACTGGTGGCGGCGGGCGCCACATTCCACGGACTGCTGCCTGTGTCGGTGTTCATACTGCTGGAAGATTTATACTTTTTCAGAAGCTTGTTCACTACAAAGGACATTCACGTGAGGGTCGGTCAGCAAGAGCAGGAATGTGGCGGGATATCCGTCCGCCTAACAGGCGGGCATATCTGCCGCAGACTTGACACTTGGGAACTGTATCGGCGGATACAGTCTCCAAATGAGAATTGAGTGTCCCGCATCGTCTGCCTCATTCGACGTTTCTATCTCATGAAAGTGATGCGCATCGGGCGCTTGCAGCGGAACGCACCTCTCTTGTCGCCGATGTGCCAGTCCGGATTGCTGCCCTTGATGCTGCTGGCGACGCGCTTGGAGCCAAATTCGGGATTGTTGGAAATGACCGAGTGGATTTCGGCCAGAACCTCGTGCTCCTCCGGCTGCCTCTTGCTCTCGTCCATTTCAAAACCAGTTCGTTCTTTTTTCAAAAATGATGAGCTCGCAGCAAAAAATCAGTTTGGGCGGGTGGAGCTTATATATTGCGGAGTACGGTGCCTCCGTTCTTTAGTCGGCCATGTTTTTGCTTCTTTGTGCAGATATCCTTATAAGACCAAAGCGATAAGACTGCTGATTGGCTGATGAGGATGATGTGTACAACAGCTGTAACGTCTGCTTCTGATTTTCGGCGGGATTTATCGCTCCACCAAAGAAGCTCCACTGTCGCAGTGTGACGAAATCCACAACATGTACGTGTATGATACTGTATCATACAATATGTAGATTCTGCATAGATGGATGGCTTTCCGCTAGCATGCTCCAGGTATCAATGATATACTCCCATCGTAACGAGCCACAGCCTCAGCACCACTGCAGCATAAAATCTTCTCACTGCTAACGGTATATCTGAAAGTAGCGAATTTTTACGAATAACAGGGATCGGTTCCACAAACAAAAAAATTATTGGGGATCGCAGACTGCCTGTACTTGGGAATATTTTCTCGACGAGTTATCATGTGAGCGCCTCGGCCGGCTTACCATTTGTGGTTTTTATCACAAAGGTCGACGATGGCAATACCATACATTCGATGGAGCTTACTTTGGTTTGGAAAATGCTGTGCCCTGCGATCAAGTGTGACCATAAATCGAAACGGACGCCTCTCCGTGGCTAGTTTGGTTTAATTTCCCATTTCTCCGATAACTAGTGCTAAGCAGTAAGTACTCCTCATACAGGTCTTGTCGACCATGGGGCCCGATTCGAAGGTCATGGCAGCGAAAAGTGGGCCACCGTCGGTCGATCCCGAAGCCAAAGGCAGCACCCCACTGCAGCGAAAATTTCGTCTCATTCATCGACTTCTTGTGTTCGGTGCTGCAGTGTGGTACATTATCATCTCCTTGATGGCGACCGATGCTGCGTTGGACATTCTAAAAGATGAAGCGCACTACGATAGTGGTCTAATTCACTTTGTATCGCCACTAATCGCTGGTTATGCTGGAACGAGCACGATCCGAAAGGGTCCACTTGTGGTGGATGTTCTGGGAGACTCCACTACACCGAAAGCCTCTGGAACACTTTTTCTAGAGTCCGAATCGAATTCGTCATTTACGCAGTGCTCGGCAGTCGTTGAGGGCGAGGGAGTGGACATTTACACCGATAAATACTTGCGCTGGATGTTCGAAGTTCTTCAGAACAAGACGGCTTACAACATCTCACTATTGGACGAAGTTGAACTTGTGCTACCAGTTGTAGACTGCCAGCTGCATGTCATCCGCAGTGGGAGCGCTGCTATCGCTCGAGTGAACTACCTCGTACGCTATAAAGACGACACAGAGCGTGTCTTGCTACTACCGACGTCATTTTCAATTCAGGACTACTATATCTCTGAACAGTACGAACGCGGAGCAGCGTTATTGGTAGAATTCTCGGTAGTTGAGGATACGGCGTCGGAAGACCCAGTGCCGCACCATTTCGCAATTGCACTCGACTATCCGTACGAGTACAAACCAGACTTTGAAGTTTGTACATTTTACAATCACACTTCCGAGGGATTTTGGTCGTTTGAGACGATACCTCGAGATTCGTTCATGAGACCCCCAAAGCCGCTACTTACAGCTCGACAGCTTGGCTTCTATCTCGATAAAGAGACTTCGCAGGTGAACCGGATCAATTTCTATTGGGTCCCAATCGATGATCCAGCCTCTGCGCTGACGTACTGGAACTGGCGTGGCGATGCTGTTATCCGCGATAACTGGGCCTGGGTACACATTATCCACCTGTTCTTCGCCATCGACGTAATGTTCCAGCTGAGTCTTCTGTTATTCCTAGTGTATCGCAGCATTTTGCAAAAGCATTTCTGGATTGGAGATGCCTTTGCATCCATTTCGAATGCACTACTATACCGTGGCATCTACGTGATCATTTCTAACCACGTGAACGGATACTGGACCCTCACCGAATTCTGTCTAGCCCTCGCTGACGGTATCAATGGAAGCAATAATGTCAAGTATCGTCCTGAACTAGCACACGCGGATATGCTCACAATCTACCTCAACATTGTAAGCGTGCTCAGCTATCTGCTACGCGAGCGAATTGACCCAATTTTTGTGTTAGTTTGCTTCGAGATTGGCTTCAACTCCCGAGAAGCTATGACCAAACTCTTCCCATCGCTGAAAGAAATGCTCATCGACTATTCGAACACTGAAGCGACCTTTGGTCTAGTGGCAGTGGATGATTTCTTGTCCAAGTTGTCTCCCATGCGCCTTTGGACTGTGCATCCGATTCATCAAAATGTGTGGCCGCTGCTCACTGTCACGTTTGTGCTCATCTACAGCACTATACTGGTTATCTTGATTTACGTGGTTCTGCGCAAACTATGGAGATATTATTCTCTGAGATTTCAAGTGGGCAGCCAGGATGGAAGCGCTTCCAGACGTCAAAGCTCTGGTTTGTTCCGCAGTGACTCGGAGCCACGTGAGCAGATGCAGTTTGAGACAGCGACAGGCTCCGTACTGAAGAATCGCTTTGGTATCTTGTCGACGTACAAGAACTACACGTACATCAATGGTCGCAGATTCACATCAGGGGATGCAATCTACTGCAACGGATTCGTGGTTGCTAACGACAAATTCGTCATTGCTACGGAGGATTTAATGTCCCTGCTCATCATGAAGATCACTCGAGCACGTTCACGAACATCTACGTGTACACGATTAAAGAGGCACCGGTGTGAACCAAACGGCTCGCCTCGTGTACCCGACTACAATTTCCTGGCATGATCTGGCCAAGGTGAGCGTCAGTCCGTTGTCGTAGTAGAGAAGATCTTCATACAAACCGCCTGAGTTTATCATTGATAGTACAGAAACAAAAGATAACAACTACTTTTTAATGCATTCTCTTCGCGTTTGTGTTAAGTTTTTTGTGAAACTTCTACGCTAGGATGTTGATATTGAGGTGGAAGAGGTCGTTCCACGAGAAGGTGTTGGGGTACACGAGTCTCGCTGTGCGTTGAACAGTGTAGCCATCCACTTCGTAGGCATAGACATTGATGAAGCGCGTCTGGACGGCCTTGATCATACTGATCGTCAGTAAGTCTTCGGTGGCCACGAGGTACTTACCGTTGACAATCACGTAGCCAGAGCAGTAGACACCGTCAGGCGACGCAAACTTCAAACCTTTGAAGAAGACGTAATTCTTGTAGTCCGAGATGAGACCGTAGCGAGCCTGAAGCTCCGCACCTGTCGAGAGCTCAAAGTTGGTGAGATTCCCTTTCTGAGCCATCGCAGCTCGCTCGTTTGTGGATCGATCGACGCTTCTGCCAGTAAGACTTGGAGCGAGCGGGTCCGGGTAGATTTTCTTGTAGATCTTACGCACTACGACGAAAGAAATCAACGTTCCGGTGAGGATATACTTGGGGTAGAACGAGGCCACGATAAACTTGTTGTCAACGCTGGTGAGCTTGTCAGTTGTCCAAAGTCTCATGGGCGACATTTCACGTTGCAAATCGGTGACTGTAGCGATTCCTAGGCGGTATTCTTTGTCCGAGTAGGCGCGAACGGTCTTAAGTATTGCAGGTGCCATCTTTACGATAGGCTGGCGGTTGTCGTGGATGGCTTCATAAAGGAAAACACCGATCGTAGGGTCGATCCTTTCTTTGAAAATATGCCCGACGAGTCCAAACAGACTGAGAAACATCACCATGAGATCTGCGTGGACAATTTCCGAGTGGATTGGCACCAGCTGAGTGCCTGTAAGATCGTTGGCGTTTGAGATGCAGAACTCCAGAAGTGTCCATTCTCCATTCACATACCAAGAGGCAAAGACAAGCAGACCTCGAACCATGAGTGTACTGTTCGATAAAGAGGCAAAGGAATCGCCGATCCAGACTTTGCCATCGCGTACATTCCGATACACAATGAGTGAAAGAACACTCAATGAGAATATGGTTTGTACACAGAAGACCAGATGAATGCCATGAACCCAAGCCCACGAGTCCAAGATGAGAGGTTGGCCTCTCCATTCCCATCGCGAAATCGCTCGCACCGGGTTAGTTTTCTCCAGATTCCAGATGAGGTTCCGGATATTCGACTGCTCCGACTCAGCTCCCAAGTAAAATCCACGTCGACGCGCAGTGAGCACGGTCTTAACCGGATTCACGACGATACTCTCTGGGATACTTGTGAGGTTCCAGAAGCCATCGGCTGATAACCCTTCAAGCTTGTACACTTCGTAGAGCGGTTGATGTGTGAATGCATAGTCCAAACCAATTACGATGTGTTGATCTAGCTTCGTCGCTTTCATATCACTCACAGTAAAGAGTGCCGTCACAATCGCAGGGCCCATTCGGTTCGCTTCTGGGATCCAATAGTCTTGGATTGAGACGGAAGTTGTAACCAGTTGAATATTGGTCGGCTTGCTTTTGCTGCGAACGATGTTGAACACACGCAGCAGCGACGGGTCTGCCTTTATCAGAGGAGGCGAGGTGCAGTCAATGACAGGTACTACGAGTTCCAAGTCAGCTAGTTGCGTGAGGTTGTACGAACTTCTAGCGATCACACTCGCGAAGTTGGCTCGGAGGAATTTGCTACTGTAAATGTCAGCATCAAACAGCTCAACGCCGCTGCACTTCTCCATTGACGTAGTAGTGTCATTCTCGAGAAAGAGAGCATAGTCACGAGGGGTTGTATCTCCGTCTAGGATGTCCTTAACAAGTGAGCTGTCACGAATTAAGCCGTCACCTAAATATCCGAGGATGAGCTCGGATTCCATAGCACCGAACGATCTCGAATCGACTGGAGACCCCCGCAGTACTTCAAAGGTGACAATTGTTGCTCTGAGATAATTGGTCAAGCACATGAGCGCTGCTCCGACGCCAAAGATTCGTCTGATGAGGTTTATCAGCTGAGCCTTGGTGATTCGCTTCTTTTTAGATTTCAGCCCGCTACCCGACCTAGGGGCCGGCGAGCTGTTCAACACCGTGGCTCCCTTCGATGGTGCCACATGCGCGTTCTGCGTCCCCATGGCTTTCCGATCACACTTAGCGACTCAGGAATGCTTTGTCTCGTATCACTTTCACACTTGCTGTATTTTTCACAAATGCTAATAAAGATGGAATGAGTTTTTTTTTTGCTGTTGGATAAGAGCTAGTGTGGCCGGCGCAGGAATAGCCAGCCGATCAAAGCCGTAGAAGAGTGGAGTTTAATTTTAGGCAGAACCTTCGGCGAGACAGAAAAAAACGGTGGTGACAAGGAGCTGCCAAAAATTGATCAGCTACCCGACATACAGGAATAGGATCTCAAAAGTTAATCAATATTTATGGGAATCTTTGAAGTTTTTAATACTGTCGGTTTACGAAAGCACAATCACGTCGAGACGTGTGAGGTCAGTCCACTTAATGGTGGTCGGGTACACAAGTCGTGAGGTTTCCTTCACAGCACGTCCGTTAATGATCTCGTACACGAAGATGTTGGTGAAGCGCACACGCGTTATCTTCATCAGAATCAACGGAATAAGGTCTTGGGTTGCCACTAGGAACTTGTTGTTGGCCACCAAGAACCCATTGCCGTACACCGCGTCGATAGTCGCCAAAACCTGGTTGTCGTGCATGGTATAGTTCTCGTAGCTGGATATGATACCGTACCGTTTCCTCAGTGCCGCACCGGTAGCCGATTCGAATGAGGTGAGGTCGATCTGTTGCAGACCGTCAACCTTATACTTATGGGATCGGGAACCGCCATTCTCTCCTCCCAGATCCTCCCATCGAGCGATCTTTCTGGCTACAATGTAGGCCACAATGAAGACCATGGGGCTAAAGATTGAGAGGGTGATCGACGAGACCACTCGAGATCGGTTCTCTGGGAGTCCGTATGAAGTTAGCAGCTCCATGGGTGACAAAGCTGCAAGACCAGGTCGCACATTTAATAGACCTCGAGTGGTGTCGGCAATGGCGAAGTCTGCGATATTTGCTCTCAATGGCGGGAAAAAGTCGGCCAACTCAACACGGTATCCCCACCCCAGCTCGAATGTTGCAAATGCCAATAGCGGATCTATTCGCTCGCGAGCAAGATAGCTCAAGAAGCTCACCAGATTCATGTACACGGCCAACATGTCGGCTTGTACCAGCTCCGGTTTGTAAAAGATAACATGCTGACCAGTAATTGTGTCACCAATTGATATGGTCATTTTCGTGATCGTCCAGTACCCGTTCAATTGATTGCATACCAGAACGATCACGCCTCGATACATGAGCATTTTAGAGATGGTGGAAAACGCGTCTCCGACCCAAATGTGACCCGTAAGGAAGCGTCGATAGATCACGAATGCCAGCACACTGAGATCAAAGATGACGTTAATAGCAAAGATACCATGGATAGCATGCGCCCAGGCCCATGAATCGTGAAGCACCGCTCTACTGTACCATCTCCATTCTCGAAGCTCCGTTGCTGGGTCACGAGACAGATCCCAGTGCGCTGTCTCAATGTTTGACTGTGACGTGACGTCACCTTTGAACCGTCCAAAACGACGAGCCATTCGTACATCTTTGGCTGGGTCATTGGTCCGCTTGTTGGGTAGCGTTTGTAGAATCCAGTAGTTGTCTCCATCGACCCCTTTCAGCTCGGAGTACTCGAATTCAGGTTCAGCAACATAAGGATAGTTCAGCGCGACGGCGATATGGTGAGTCAATGGCGTCGTTCGCATGTCTTCGATAGACGTGACCAGAAGCACCATCCCTGGACCCCTTTGGAACTGTTGTGCCACCTCGTAATCTTGAGTCGAAAGCATCGTCGATAGGATAAATGTTTTTGTCGGATCGCTCTTTTTGCGTGTGAGGTAGTACACGCGGGCAACAGTCTTGTCACCTGATACCAGCAGGTCAAACGTGCAATCCACGACGGGTACAATCAGCTCGAGTTCATTGACGTATGACAAATTGTAGGTGGCATACATTTGCATCTTTGAGAAGATGAAGCGTAGGAACTCGTTGCTGTAGATTCTGGCGTGGAATTTTTCCACTTCTGAGCAACTTGTAAACGAGTGTGCAGTTGCTGTTTCGAGGTACAGAGAGTCGTTGCGTGGGGTAGTGGATCCCTCAAGAACTTCCTGAACCAGAGGGCTTTCTTTTATCGTTGCGGTGCCAACGTAGTCGACAATGAGGTTGGAGTAGTGGGTCTCGATTGGTAAGTCGTGTGACACAACTCCACGGAGCACTAAGAGAGCCGTGCCGAATGACTCCATGGATACCATCATGTAGAGTACCGCTGTCGCGAACACTGCAGTGCGATACAATAAGAACCCGATCCGCGGCAATGTTAGCGCTTCACGCTTGTCCCGGATCTTTCCCGTTGGATGATACGACAGACGTGGTTGATGTTCAGGGAGAGTATTGGATGAAGGGATCGTGTCCATGGAGATATCATCGACAGGGAAATCGTTCCCTCCTGAACCATCGTGAGGCGAGAATTCATTCATCGTATTGGGTTCCTCGTCGCTTGTGCAAGTTTGGAAGTGAGTACGATTCTCAGAACTCATGCTCCGTTTCACCGCCAACCCTCCAATTGTATTTTGGGCGACCAACAACGACAAAAATTTGTCTTCTATCGAAAAAGGACGATTAGAGCCCACCTTTATCATGATGATAATTCTACAGTTTCAACCAAGTATAATTCTCCAGATTAGGAAAGTGAGCTCCGCTTTGGAGAGCGCTTATCAATTGGGGTGCTGGCAATTCTCTTTTACCTCCACGTATTATCATAAATCGTTTGTGTGTAGTAGATAGGTGATACCTACTACTTCATTCATACTACGCTTAAAAATCTAAATTATAACCTTGATGTACAATAGCTGATAATCTTCATCGGGTGATTGAAAAACACACACAGAAGATGGTCGATAGCGGTGGTCATCAGTATCAGCATTAACCTATTTCGCTACGCAGACTTTTGTTAATTTTGGGTGATGCTTGTGTTTGACAAAGAAATAAAGCTTGATCTACATTGTACATGTAGTGCTCGCCACCAAGAATACGCTGGACCAGAGAACTGAACAAGCACAGTGCATAAGAACGTTTTGCTGTCTATTTTGGTTAAATTTCAGGGACTAAAGCTTTAATTAAAGCGCACAGAACAGTTCAAGCAATTTTTTTTGTCTGTAATGTTGTGCTCAGCATGTACTCTCGTCCTCGAGTCTGGCGTTTCTCAAGTGTTTGGTGCATAGTCGTTGTGTCTCATTCTTCGAGCTCCCGTCTCGCGGTCTCAACGTCAAGAGTTGAATCATCGGTCAGGCAACCTTTTCCTGCACCTTCGTGCGATACGACTCGAGCAAAATGGTAATAGTGCACAGAATTTATTAATATTGATTTAATGAGCTCTTCCTGATAAAACGTGCTCTAAGCGAGAATGTTAATGTTCAAGAAGATCAGGTCCTGCCAACTCAAAGTCTCGGGATAAACCAGCTGAGCTGTACGCTGAACCGTGTTACCATCCACAGCATACACGTACACGTTTGTGAACCGAGACCGGAACGCTTTGATCATAATAATCGACAGCAGATCCTTCGAGCCAACAAGGAATCTGCCATTCGCCACGACGTATCCTGAGCAATATACGCCGTCAGCCGAAGCGAACTTGAGCCCCTTGAAAAAGACGTAGTTTTTGTAGTCCGAGATGAGTCCATAGCGTGCTTCAAGCTCAGCTCCGGTGGAAAGCTCAAAGTTGGTAAGGTTTCCCTTCTGCGCCGTGGCAGCCTTCTCATTGGATGATTGGTCACCGGTGCTTCGTCCTGTTATCCCTGTAGGTTTCTGGTCTGGATAGAAGTGGTGATACACCTTCCGCAGCCCAACGTACACTAGTATTAGAGCTACCAGCAGTGCCTTGGGGAACAAGGCAGCAGCCAAAAACCCGAAATCGATTCCGTTGAGCATGTGTGTCGTCCACAGACGCATCGGAGACAACACTTTCTGCGCATCCGTCACTGTCGCAATACCCGCTCGGTATTCAGTATTGGCGTAGTCGACGACTGTTTTCATCACAAAGGAAGTGTCACGAATAATATCCAGTCGGTTGCTGTGGATAATCTCGAACAGGAAGAGCGCGAACGCTGGGTCAATACGTTCTCTAGTGAACCGTCCAATAAGTCCTATAATACTAAGAAACATCACCAATAAATCGGCATGCGAAAGTTCAGAGTGAACGGGAATCGTCTGTGAGCCAGATATGGCATTGGCACCGGGGAGGCAAAACTCGACGAGTGTCCAAAATTCATTCACATACCAAGACGCCATGACAAGCAACCCTCGCATCATAAGTGTGCCATTCGATACCGAAGCGAAAGCATCGCCGATCCAGATTTTACCAATGCGCAGATTACGGAATACCACGATCGACAGCACCGCTAGTGAGAATAGCGTCTGCCACGCGAAGATCACATGAATACGTGTACCCAAGCCCACGAATCGAAAATGACCGGTTCACCATACCATTCCCATACTGATAAAGCGACTGCCGGGTTCTGATCCTCAACTTTCCAGAACAGATTACGCATATTTGCCTGTTCCGACTCAGCATGCAGATAGAACCCGCGACGACGAGCTGTACGTACATGAATGATAGGATCCACTGAGATATTACGAGGAACACTAGACATCTCCCAGTATCCGTCGGGTGACACTCGATCCAGCGTGAACACACTGAAAGTTGGAGCATTTGTGTACGGGTAGTCCAGTCCAAGAACGAAGTAGTTGTCAACATTTGTAGCACGCATATCACTCACTGAGAAGAGCGAGGCCAAGAGTGCAGAACCCCGCCGACTCTGCTCGTCAACGTGGTAATCTTGTGTGGAAAAAGAAATGGCTACAATGTGGACATCGGTCGGGTCACTCTTGCGACGTACCAAGTTGTAAATGCGAAGCAAACTTGGATCGCCCGTCAATAACGGTGGAGAAGTGCAGTCGACCACAGGCATGATAAACTCGATGTCCTGGAGAATGGTGAGGTTGTACGAACCGCTCGCAACAAGACCCAAGAAGCCGCTATACAGGAATGTAGCGTTATAAATGTCCGAGTTAAACATCTCGATATTAGAGCATTTTTCGAACGAGGTAGATGTTGGTGACTCCAGATAAAGCGTGTCGGTTCTTGGCGATGTGTTGCCTTTCAACACGTCCTTAACAAGGCGGCTATCTCGAATTAGTCTGTCGCCACAGTACCCCGCAATGATCTTCGCTTCCATTATGCCGAACGATTCCGTTCCAATATTCGTTCCTTGCAGCACGTCGATCGTCTTGTACGCCGACTGAAGACCAATTCCCGCGTACATCAATGCAGCAGCCACTCCAGCGATACGACGAAACAGATTGAAGAGCTGGGCACCCGTGATTCGCTTCTTCTGCACACCACCGTGTCCTCTCTTGGATGGACTCGTGAAGGGGACATGTTTTGGAGACACTCGAGCGATGAGCCCTGTCATCGTCACCAGCTACGTCCACCAACAATGAAAGCGATGTGGAGCTGAATAACACTACTTGAGTGAACGAGGTGAACGAGGCGAACGAGAGGTCTTCTAAATCGGGGAGACTGAAATAGAGAAGATGGCTATTTCGGAATAGGGAAGAACGTCACCGACATCTACGATATTTCTACAAGGTGATAACGAAAAAATGGATGACAGGCATCCTTGTGGACAAGACAACGAAAGTATAAACAGGCATTTCTATTATCACTGCTGCTGTAAAGGTTGGACACTAGCGCGTTTGCACTCGTCTGCGGACTTATAGCCGTGGGCCCGCCCCTCTCTTCACTTGCTGCGCTGCGCTCGGGGGGCGCCGCTGCGCGGCCTGCCCCACCCCGGCCTCTAAGTCCTCGACTCGGCAAGGCGCTGTGTCTGGGATTAGAAATTAATTCCGAGCGAGTGTTGCCAAGACCGTCGGCTAAGTCCATTTTATGCATGTTGGGGGGTATAATTGTATAGTCGGTTAGCCAGTCGGGCAAAATACTCACTTCCAATATTAAAAGCCACCGTGTATGCGATAACTCTGAAGATGAAGAGTTCCTGGATGGAAGCTGCGTTCCTGTTGGGTGTCTCAATGTCTTTTGGCATCGCAGCGTTTGAGGACGCTAGCAGCTTTCTCGCCATGAGACAGCGAATCGCGTTCAGTGATTGGTGTTTGGCGCTTGCGCATCCATCCATGTGTGACAGACGTGCAATACATGTATCCCATCAAAACTGAAGCAAGCAACTCTGACGTAGCTGGATCGAACTCATTACCCGACATACGCGGAAGGACACACGCCTCGACACAAGAAACAAGTAGCAGAGATGCCAGCCAGCATGACCGCAACGGCCGCTCCGATGGAAACGCAGACCCAAAGCAAGTCGGACGTTGACTACGTGCTCGTAGACTTCGAGCCTCTTCACAAGCAGCGCTGGCGCAGTGAGACCGTGCGCCTCGTGTGCGTAGAATTCCCACCGCACACGCGAAGTCTGTGGCACAAGCACCTAAACTATGGCATCTACGTGGTTATGGCACCGCTCAACGTAACAGAGCAGCCGTTCGGTCAGGAACCGCGCCCGTTGGTTCAAGAGAAGGGCTCCGTTTTCTGTCGCGACCACACTAAGGACAAACTACTGCACGTGATCAATAGCCATAATACGCCGCTCTTTATTGTAGAGGTGGAGCTGCTTAAGAAGAAAAAGGACATTATGCCGCATGACCAGGTGGCGCTGCATTCCAGTAAGGGCGTGGAGCTGCTAAACAACGAGCCCGAGTGCCGGGTATACCGCCTGACGCTACAGAACGACTCAAGCGAAGGCCAGTCGGCTAACGAGATCTCGCTCGGCCTGCCCACAGGCGCTGTTTTGGTCGGTTTAGACGACTGCGAGGTCGAAGTCACCAATGTTTCAGAGGACCCAATGGTCGACTCGGAGCGCACGCTGTCACTAAAGGTGGCGGACGACGTTCAACTGAGTGCTGGCAAATTGAACCTTAAGCTGCTCTCGTCCAAGACCAGCAAGGTGCAGTTCATTCTCGCCGAGGTGTATTAATCTAAATCGCTCTGGCGTGATCATGAAGTGGTAAACTCTGTTAGCACCGATGAGACTCTTGTCAAGACCAAACGCGGATACAGAATCGTTTAACTTTTGCCTAATCTACTTTTTATTGATGCAACTTTTGTACTTTGTATTGACAAGAGGCTTCGCCAATAATAACGCTGGAAAATGCGACCGAGGCAGAGTGATTGACCAGCCGCATAAACCCAATTCATTCCCAAATCGCTCGAGTGCTGCAATGGGACCCAAGAGCGAGACGAAGCCCGATGTCGACTACGTTCTCGTGGACTTTGAGCCGCTGCATAAGCAGCGCTGGCGCACGGACAATGCGCGTCTCGTATGTGCCGAGTTCCCTCCCTTCACGACGTGTCTGTGGCATCAGCATCTCAAGTACGGCATTTACGTGGTCATGGCGCTGCTGGACGTTGTGGAACAGCCATACGGCGAGGAACCTCGACCGCTAGTGCAGAAGAAAGGAGCGGTCTTCTGTCGTGACCATACCAAGGATGAGTTAATCCACTTGGCAACCACCAAGGAGCTGCCAGCGTTCCTCATTGAAGTCGAAATACTAAAGGAGAAGGTCGATGTGGTGCCAAACAAAAATATGCCACTGCACGAAGGCAAAGGGATCGAACTGCTCAAGAACGAGCCGGAGTGTCGAGTGTACCGCTTCTCACTGCAAGGCAATGATGATCAAGCCACTGCTGAGATTGTAGTCAATCTGTCGACTGAAGCTGTGTTATTAGCATTGGAAGACTGTGAGGTGGAGATCAGGGGTGTTTTACATGGCAACGTAGAGGTGACCACGCATCGTATTCCGATGAAGGTTGGAGGAGATGTTCACCTGAAAGCTGGCAACTTCGGAGTCAAATTATTGTCATCAGGCGCAAGGACGACGTCGTTTATCTTGGCCGAGGTGTTTTAAGCTCCGTGTGTAGCTACAATAGTACTGTCACAGTACTATTGTAGTACCTCCATACACTTCCCACTCCTACAGACTCTCAACCAGCTCATATCGTTTACATCTGCACGCTCCAGAAGTCCATTTTAAAGTCGTGTTTGAAGATGTACGACTCGACGAAGCCCGGGTCCGTGATGGTAGACGTCTGGTAGTTGTAGATCAGAGCCTTGCGCTCTTCCTTGGGGTTCTCGAAGTGCAGCTCGTTTTTGCGCGCTTCATCAATGAAGAAATTGGCGAAGAACTGGCCGCTTGCAACTCCTTCGCGCGAGTGGTCAATCACCTCGTACGGGGTACCGTCCGGGTATTCTCCGTACTCGAAGCTGTTCTTCTCGGGGTGGAATTGCACGGCGTAGACTGGGTACTCTTTGGCCTCGAAAGCTGAGATAAACTCAACTCCCTGTCGATCCACATTGGTGGCTAGTACAGTGTAAAAATCTGTGAGGGACGAATACTGGTTAAACTTCTCGGGTGTGATCCCTTGTTCGTGGTTGTTCATCGTTATAGGTTTGTCCTTGAGCCAAGAGTAGAGCTCGGGGCTGGCCTGACTGAATAACCTACTGGTGGGCGCAGCGTCAGTGAAGTTCAAGGGCAGAGTGATGTTCATGGAGTCGAGACCTTGATTGAGCGAGTCCATGTCCTTCGTGGTGAGCTGCACGAGCCACTCGAAGCCGAGGCAGGTGGCCCACACCGGGAAGTGTACACCCTTATCGTTGAGCTCCAGCGCCAACTGGAATAGGCGCTCAGCGCGGTCATTGGCGGTGGCGGCACCGCCCGGGAACAGCAGCCCATTGAGCTGCGGAAGTAGCTGCTCCAGATACGGCTTGGGTGCGTTGTATGGGATGGGGACGACACGACCTCCGGCACTTTCCACCCACTTGACGTACGATGCTGCAATGTACTCGCCGTGCTGGGAGATCGGATGCGCGAAGACGCCAATGATAGGCCCGCGAGCACTAGCGGCGACGACAGAGAGGCTTAGAGCCGCGGAGAACATGAACGACCACAGCGTCATCGTGAAGATGTGGATCTAACATGAGGCTAAATCGGATGGTCTGATTGGGGGGCTCGTTTCTTCTTTTTAGCCAATTAAATGGGGTACTGTGAAATATGACCAAATTCTCCGTTTTTGGCCTGTCCTGTGGCTCAGTTACATAGCCGTGCGACAAATGACCAGGGTACTGAGTAATCAGTACGGTATTGACCAGAATGGAATTAAAAAGTAAATTAAAATGATGTGCAAAGATTCCCCTTACCCTATCAATCAAATCTTAAGATTTTGTACAACGGTGGGCGGTGCAACGTTCTCCTGGCCTCTCATTTCTCAATTTGCGTCGAACGCCCACAATGAAGCGGAAATGTGTAATGTGGAAGACGTCGACTCCGACGAAGACGACGAAGCTGTGTCAACGTTCGGTGGAGGAGGAGATAGTTCAGGCGACGACAATGAAGACACGGACCGGACGCAGCTAGCCCAGGGCACGCAGTTAGTTCGGGAGGGCAGCGAAGACTCACTCGACGATCTCTTACTCCAGGAAGATTCATTTGAAGGGAAGGAGCTGAAGCGGCTTCACGCCAATTGGGACGCTTGGGAGAGGTATCGCGTTAATTACTGCGAGGAGGAGAACGCGCATCTAGTCGTTCAAGAAGCAGAGAGTGTGTCGAAGCGCAACAAGCAGCTGCGTGAGTCCAAACGTGCGAAGAGTGGTCGGGGCGTCCGCTACTTACCTGACGGCTTACCGCGGTGGCGACGCAGGTATATTTGCACCCATGGAGCGAAATCTCGGCGCCGTGGTATGGGAAAGCGGCAACAGTACCGACCTCGTGGTACTGGCTGTCCGTTTCGATTCACAGTCGAAAGTATTTTCGTCAAGGACAAGTAGATTGTAGAGGTGAAGAACCCTATATATACGCACAACCACGCGCTATCCGAAGTGGTGTTCCAAAACTATCCACATAATTGGCAGAAACCGATGTGTGAGGCTATTGTTGAAGACCTCCGGCTGATGGTTCGAGCGGGCGGTAAACGTTTGCGCATTTACGAGTACATTCGTGACTATTCAAGCTACAAGGTGACGCGCAAGGACGTGGCTAACCTCCTAGTCAAGATTCGCAATGAAATGCGTGGAGAAGCAGACGACGATTTGGCTGCTGGAGAGTTTCTTATGGAGTTTTGTGAAAAGGACAAAGACAATGTTGTTAGTGTGGACGATACATCTTCCGGAGAGACCGGTGCTATTTCTCTGACTACGAGACGTATGCGAGCCACGTTCGCCAGGTTTCCAGAGCTCTTGTTGGTTGACTGTACCCACAAAACCAACAGGTAAGATTTTCATAGGGAATTTGCCAGGTTTTATTCCAGGCTTATGCCGGGTTGGACACCAGGCTTTCACATAGGTGATTTGTCAAGTTGAGTATCAGTTATAAACCAGGTTTTAATCCTTACTAATTCAGTTCACGTTTGTACCTTCAGATATGACTACCAACTTTGCAGTTTAATGGTTATGGATGAGATTTGGAAAAGAAATCATAGCGTGACCGTTGTTACAACTGCAGGGTTTAAGCTCAACAGAAGGGTCAAGGGGGTCGACTTGCCGGCTGGTTTGTTGGACAAACTTACGTCTATCTGTGGTGTAGTAGAACACACAAATATCGTCAGATGTGGATTCCTTACACAAACCACAACGAATCGCCGAGTTAGGTCGGCGGTTTGTATGGCCTGCGCAGAGGGTGGTCTCCTCGCGGTCCGGCCCTTCCGGGACAGACGAGTGGCTCGCTTCCACCCGGTTCCGACTAACCAAGTCAGATCACTTCCGAAGCTCCGCCGAGTTTGGTTCGGCTGAGCTCGTTCACAGCCCTGTGCCCTCCACCAAAGGATGGACGACGGCGCGCGAGCGCTTTTACAGGTCACCGAGCGCAGAGGCAGCTCAGCTAGAAGTGTTACGGCACCCGGGCTATCCGACGTACCGGCCCGCTGAGTATGCGGGACTTTCTTTCGCGCGTAGCGAGACTTTGTCCTACCCGGACCGACCTAATCTCTTGGCGCTACCAGTCAATACCCTACAAGCTATGCCTCTCGAGTATTGACGGCAGGCATAATCCAGCCCTATGCAGGGACTTACCGGAAAAGTGTACACGTGTCTTGGACTAGGAAAATTCTGCTCTGTTATCTTCTGGGAGCCCTTTCGCGCCCCCCCTATTTAATCCTATGCTTCTCATACAAATATCTAATGAAATGTAGTCGTTTCGGATCTCTACCGACCCTTCAGCTGAGTTCCGGCGACCGTTGAGCTCAGCGGCTGTTCGGATAGCATATCCGGACAGATCGCCGAGTACTTACCGTGATCCTTGGCTCCTAAGCTCTGGGTTATCAGACCGAGCCGATTCTTGACCTAAAGTAGGTCGGCGTATGGTCGAATCTGGAAATCCCTACACCACAACTGCCCCGGTTATGATACGAGCCGAGCTGGTGAGTGTCTTAATCCTTCATTTTGTTCTGCCACCGTTGGTCCGTACTCGGCTGATGACGTCTCGCGGCTCCCCACCACCTTCTTTGGTACGTTCGTTGCTTCCGCTGTCACTCACTTGGCTGCTCCTTACTCTTCGCATGTTGTTCCAGCACAACCCGTGGCACCATCCTTCTTCTCCAACTCCTCGTCGAGGTGAAGGCGTGCCAGCTGAGTCGATTCCTCGACCCGTCGGTACTCGTGGGGTCAGCGACCGGCATGAAGCTGGGCTGGTTGACCTGACAACTTCCCATGAGTCTGACGCGGAGTCGGCAGAGTCTTCTCGCGTGCGCCTTCCTGGTCCACCGAGCTTGCCGGGCGACACCACTTCGGGCGCCACCAATCAGCCAAGCTCGGCTGCTCCAGTGAGTCTTGACTCCTCATGGCCAGAATTAACGAGCAAGGGCATGATCGCCGAGAAGAATTGACCGTTTTGGCGAGGCTCATGGCTTACGGATTTACTCGTTCCGTGGAGCCCTCCGATCCCGTGCAGCGGCGAGCGATTTTGCATGCTGCTTCCGCGGGGGAACTGTTGGATATCTTGAAAGGCAACTACGCCGCTCTTGATTATCCAACGATCATCGGCGATCTCCAAGCTGACAACCAAGCTGTTCAGGAGGAGAACCGCGCACTGACTCGGCGACTGGACTCGCTTGCTCTCAGCAATGTCGACTTGTCAACTCAGCTCTCGTCGGCTCAACAGCAAGTGTCTCGATTGGAGGCTGCTGCTACGCAATCGGCTAATCTCCTCGCGTCGCTGCGAAAGGCTGTAGCTTTTCGCTCCGCGCGGTATGGATCCTCAGGTTGTTGACGACGCGATTGAAGAAGATTTCGATCTTGCTGAACAAGCGCCTCCTGCCTATGCCCCGGGTGCTCCAACTCGGCTGAATCGTCAAGGCATCCATATCTTCACTGGGTCTTCGATCGGTAAGCTCGGCTCAGATGGCGAGAGTGCGTCTGATGACGACTCGGCGGACGATGGGTTGGGTTCTCCCAATCTCCGAGGCGCGTCTCCGAGTATGTCTCCGTTCGGCACCCCACTCCCCAGTGGAACGGATCCTCAGCCCACTTCCGGCGCGTCGGGTCCTGAGGCACCTGGTTCGGCGTCAGCTTCGTTGGCTAGCTCGGCGATGATACTTCTTGCCACGGCTGCGAATGTTGCATCTCCTTCCGCAAGTTCCCAAGGGATGACGTCTGCTACGACGCCACGCCCCCAATCGTCGAGTCCGCTGAGCTCTTCCCAGTTGTCTCCGTCGGGTTCAACTCACTTGGAATCCGGATCGCCGACTTTTTAGTTTTCTTCCTTTGACTGGGCGTCCCGTAGGTATCGTTCAGGACTTCATTTCGTAATTATTCAGATTATGTAGTTTCGACACAGTAGCATTCCATCTCAACTCGGCCTGTGTCGTCCGCTGAGTTGGTGTAACTTTTGGTGCAATAGCTGTTAATCCTCATCTGCAACTTGCACCATTTGCAGACGGTTTTCGCGCTTCTTCTGTCGTAGATAGTCAAACAGGAGACCCCCACATGACAAATTTGACAGTGGTTCCCAAGTAGGCTCATCGTAGCCGACCCACTTAACTTTAAACTTCCGTTGTGATCGTGACGTACTTGTGGATAATGGTAGCTCATCGTCGAGAATTGCTTCGACTTCATACTGGTTTGTACTTGTGTCTGGTTCCCAGCTGTCTTCAGGCAGTAATTCTTCATCAAAGTCAAATCGCTGAGTCTCTTCGAGGTCGGCGATTAGCCTCGTCTTTGGTCTTCCGCCGAGTTCTTCAGACGTGATACATGGACCACTGGGTAGAACCTATATCCACTCTTGTCGGGTAACTCCAATTCATAGGCGAATTCTTCCACCTTCTTCTTCACCCTGAATGGTCCATGCCATCGGTGGGCTAACTTCTTGGTCAGGTCCGACTTGACTCGCTCCATAAACAACCAGACTTGATCTCCTTCTTTGAACAAGGATTTGGTGGATTCATCGCCTGGTTCTGCAACTTCATCTTCGTCATCTGCTGTGTTGGGAATGGATCTTTTCTCCTCCTTGCTCAACGCTTCGTTGTGCTCTCGAGCTCGTCGTGCTTTCTCTCGCACTTGGAACTCAGCTGCTAATCGAGGTGCCACTTCTCGTTGTCTGTTCGCTTCTCGGCGCCACTCGACTGCGTCCGCCGAGTTGACTGGGCGTCCCTGTCCACGTCGTATTGAACTCGTCATAGCCTTGAGTGTAGACTTTGCGTCCCAACCATGCACCAGATAGAAAGGGGTTTCTCGCCGAGTCGAATCTCTTGAGTTGTTGATAGCGTGTACCATCTTCTCGGCGATGTCATCCCAGTCGGCTTGAAGTGGGTCTTCTACGTAGACCCGTATAGTCTGAACCATTGTCTTGACTGACCTCTCTTGTTGACCGTTAGCTTGTGGTCGGTAACTCAGCGTAGCTCTTGATCTCGACTGCATCATCTCGGAGAACTTTTGGAATACTTAACTCATAAACCTTGGATCTCGGTCG